TGAATTTGCTTTTTATTCGTTATGAGAATAAGATAATATTTTAAAATTTTACGCAGTAATTATTCGTCGTTAATCCATTAGTTGGGTTGGATAAAAATTGTTAAAATGGCTGAGATTAGGAGGTACAAGCCATTATTGCTAAGCTAGTGGGAGGATGGTTATGCATGTACGGGAAGCGATCGTCCCCATAAAAGAAAATAAAAGAAAAGAAAAGAAAAAAAAAAACACTTATTAAAAAAAAGTTCGCGTTGATCCATGTCTCATTAGTTGTGTCTTAATCAGTTCAATCTCTCTTCGTATATTAACCAATAGTTATCTTAATTACTTAGTTAAGTATAAATATATATTAAAAAAACGAAGATAACAAGTCATTATTGCTAAGCTAGTGGGAGCATGGTTATGTATGTACGGGAAGCGATCGTCCACATAAAAGAAAAGAAAAGAAAAAAAAAAAAAAAAACACTTATTTAAAATTTTGATTAAAGTTCTCATTAGTTGGGTCTTAATCAGTTCTCTCTCTCTTCGTATATTAACCTATAGTCATCTTAATTACTTAGTTAAGTATAAATATATATTAAAAATAATGAAGATAATAATAAAAAAAAAAGATACAGTTTGGCTATAAAAGGGAAGGCAAACTTTCCTTTCTTGAACACACAAGTATGTCTTTCTCTCTCTTTAAAACAGTTTCTCCAATTAGTTTAGTGCCTTTTGGTAGCTGTGTGAGATCAGTTCAGACCTAACACACCACTCCGGGAAGGTAAATAAGAAACAAACCCCCTCTCCCCTCCACACACTAAAATCTTTAATCTGTCATTCTTCTGTAATTGTTTGCATGTTCATGAGTTATGATTGGTGAGGTTTTTTTTCTATTTTATTTTAAAACTTTTTATGGGTTCTTAACCTGGATCTGAACCGGGTCTTTAACTAGGGTTTCTACTAGGATTCTCTCATAAATTGGAAGAAAATCCACTTCATTTTTACCCGTTTTATTTCCATTTTATATGTATGGTTCTTACTTTCTTATACGTAGAAAATGTGAAAGTTATGGGTTGATGATTTTTGGAGGGTGAAGAATGGCGAGAGAGAAGATCAAGATCAAGAAGATTGATAACGTAACGGCCAGGCAAGTCACCTTCTCTAAGAGGAGGCGAGGTCTCTTTAAGAAAGCGGAAGAGCTTTCTGTTCTCTGTGACGCCGAGGTTGCTCTCATCATTTTCTCAGCTACTGGCAAGCTCTTTGATTACTGCAGCGCCTCCAGGTATTTTCCAATTCCATTTTTTTTCTCTATAGTAAAATTTCGTACGGTAAATCTATAACTTTTCTTCTTCAACTCCACCTATTATTTCGGTCCTTTGTCTTCCCGTGTCTGCGTTTATGTGCTTTCGTCTCTTTGTCGTTGTGTTTGTGCGCGCGTGAGAGAGACTCCTTCAAGTTTTTACTCTTTCCCATTTCGTTCGATCTTTCAAGCAGCAAGAAATTTTTTTTACAGAAGGGATTAAAGCAACTTCTTTGCTGAAATTCCATGGTCCCTTTCAAAAAAACGTCGTACTTCGGTTCACACTCTCAGAGTTGATTAATTCTATGGACTCTTTGGAGTTTATATATAATCGAGTGATTAGGGTTTGTATAACTGCTCTCCAAAGTCAATTTCTGATAAATTTCAATCATCAAAATCTAATATTTACCATCAAAATACTCATCAACCTCCTTCTAATAAACATCATAGTTTGGATCAATTAATTTCCATTCGTCATTAGAATAAAGTTAAGTAATAAATAGCATTTAAAAAATTTATGAGTAAAAATTCGTCGTTAAACCATTATTTGGAGTGGATAAAAATTGTTAACTCAAAATGTGAGGTTTAAAATGGTGAGAGTAGGAGGGTACTATATTTGATTTTCTGACTGATGTGACAATAACCTTTAACAAAAACTATACTATATTAAAGCCATGGACGATTCTATTTCTAGTATAGTGCAATCTCAATCACATCAATTCTTAAATTTATGCCTTATGCCAATAATAAATTTTATTTTTACCCTTTTTACGCTTTTTTAAATAAACAAATTATAAAGTTTATTTACCAATGTGTTAGAAATCATATGATCGAATATTAAAGGACTAGCCAATTATTAATTAAACATCTTACATTTTCAGTCGTTAAAAGTCAGTCTGGAATATAAATAAAGTATCATACAGTATAATATTTTTATTGATGATATACATAATTTCTAATATAAATACGACTTATATCAATATATGTGCATCACTTAATGTAATTGATAATATATTTTGTAATCAACCTGGTAAATTTTTGATATAATTTCAAATTAATTTTACTTTTAATAGACAACTTATATATATATATATTGAGTTCGAATACTATGGTTAATAGGGAGTAACCACTATAACTCTTATCAGATAGTTATAAGGTATTAAAAGATTAGTTGATGTGTATGTAAAATAAACTAAACTAAACTAAACACCTCTAGTGATAAAGATAAAAAATAAAAATTACTCATATGTTATGCAGCTATTTTTGTAGTTTACCATTTAGAGTAACTTTAAAAATTAAAATCAGTATCTTCTCATTTCTATTTATACAAACCCAATTTATCACTTCATATTCACAATAAAATAAAGTCACGATAGAATAATTATATATTAATTAATTGAATTTGCCAGCTTCAATATAGCTTTAATCCGAATTCATAATTATAAACAAAACGTTTGATTGGAAGTTTGGAATTAAAAATGAACAAGAAAATAGTAAAAATACAAGTAAATATGTAACGGTGATCCTATTTATCTCAACAAATAAAGTGTAAACTAACTTTTTCCTACCCAAATAATGATTTAATTACATTTTCTAAATTCTAACCACATACCTTTAAAATATCACTTTATTACCACTACAACAAAAAGGGCGTTTAGCTACGAATTTTTTCGTTACTAAATACCTAGAAATCGTTGCGGTATACTTTTAGCGACGGAAGAAAATCGTCGTCACAATCGTCGCAGTAGGCATGTCGCGCTTTATTTTAAGCGACGATTTGTTAAAATTCGTCGCTAAATCTGGCGACAAACCAAAAAAATTGTCGCCTATACCATTTTCGTCGCTAAAACTATTTGGCGGTGAAATATTAGTTGTCGTCGCCTAAAGTTAATAGCAATGTACTCTCTATTGTGTCTCTTACACTATACTGCAACGAGATGTATGTTTGTGTCACCTAACATATACCGCGACGAAATGTAAATTTTGCTTGCCTATGATATACTGCGACGAAATGTGCATTTTTGTTGCATAAAGTTAGTAGCAACGTAAGAATTGTGTGCATTGCTTAAAGTATATAGCGACAAAATATGACATTTTGTCGTCTAACATGTAGTGCGATAAAATATGAGTTGTCACCTAAAGTAATTAATATTTAATTTATCTGAGACATTTTAAAATTTAATTCTAAAAACGTAAATATTAATTTGTAAATGTAATTAATTGAAATCACACAAATATATTAAACCAAATATATTATAGAACTATATATGTCAGTTTTCAAATCAAAAGTTAAAAATATATAAAGTTGACTAAATTGTAATATTCAACAAAAAGTAACAATTGAAAACTCAAATTGTTGCAGGTGGTGGAGGATCTCGTGGAAATTGGCCCGAGAATGTCTGTGAGCCATCAAAAAACCCATATTAACTGAGATGAACTGCTGCATTTTCTCCATCATTTGCCTCTATTGGCAAAATTCTTCCCTTATGCCTCGTAGTTCTTGCATCTCCTCACACAAGTGTGTGAATTCCTCTAAAACTTATTAATTGGCTCGCCTTGAAGTCTTAGAAGATACAGGTGGTTTTGGACCATAACCCAATCCACGATTTATTCCTACAAAAATAATATATATGTTCATACACACAAATATATAAATTAAAATAATATAATTTTATAAATTAAAAAATTAAAAGGTATTAGGTTATAATATAAAAATATAATAAACTTTTATACAAAAAAAAATGAAATACACTACATAATACTTACATATCGAACCTTGGCTTCATCATTTATCCAAGTATTTTTTGTACTGCTAAAATGAGTGTCATAGAATAGATGCACCTCCCCTTGGCGTTGGCCTTAAGAAAAATCATAATATTAAAAAAAATAAACAAATAAATGAAAATTAATATTAAAAAATAAATATTAAAAAATAAATAAATAACAATTACAATATACACATTAAATAAAAAATTATTCAAAAATAAATATTTATATTCCGTTTCTAATTCTAATATCATTGCAATCTCATGTCATTATCATTCTTTTCTCCGACCATCATTTATAAAAACCCCTCAAATATTACTCCAATCAACCCTGTCAATCGTCAATAATCGAGTGATTAGGGTTTGTATAACTGCCTCTCCAAAGTCAATTTCTGATAAATTTCAATCATCAAAATCTAATATTTTACCATCAAAATACTCATCAACCTCCCTTCTTAATAAACATCAATAGTTTGGATCAATTTAATTTCCATTCGTCATTAGAATAAAAAGTTAAGTAATAAAATAGCATTTAAAAAATTTATGAGTAAAAATTCGTCGTTAAACCATTATTTGGAGTGGATAAAAATTGTTAACTCATAAATAGTGAGGATTTAAAATGGCTGAGAGTAGGAGGTACAAGTCATTATTGCTAAGCTAGTGGGAGCATGGTTATGTATGTACTGGAAGCGATCGCCCACAAAAAAAAAAAAAAAAAAAAAAACACTTAATTAAAAAACTATGTTCGCATTGATCCATGTCTTATTTAAAATTTTGATTAAAGTTCTCATTAGTTGTGTCGTAATCAGTTCTATCTCTCTTCGTATATTAACCTATAGTTATCTTAATTACTTAGTTAAGTATAAATATATATTAAAATAATTTTAAAAAAACAGATACTGTTTGGCTATAAAAGGGAAGGCAACCTTTGCTTTCTTGAACACACAACGATGTCTTTCTCTCTCTTTAAAATCACTTTCTCCAATTAGTTTAGTGCCTTTTGGTAGCTGTGTGAGATCAGTTCAGACCTAACACACCACTCCGAGAAGGTAAATAAGAAACAAACCCCCTCTCCCCCCACACACTAAAATCTTTAATCTGTCATTCTTCTGTAATTGTTTGCATGTTCACGAGTTATGATTGGTGGTTTTTTTTTTCTATTTTATTTTAAAACTTTTTCTGGGTTTCTTAACCTGGATCTGAACCGGGTCTTTAACTAGGGTTTCTACTAGGATTCTCTCATAAATTGGAAGTAAATCCACTTCATTTTTCCCCTTTCATTTACATTTTATATGTATGGTTCTTACTTTCTTATACTTAGAAAATGTGAAAGTTATGGGTTGATGATTTTTGGAGGGTGAAGAATGGCGAGAGAGAAGATCAAGATCAAGAAGATTGATAACGTAACGGCCAGGCAAGTCACCTTCTCTAAGAGGAGGCGAGGTCTCTTTAAGAAAGCTGAAGAGCTTTCTGTTCTCTGTGACGCCGAGATTGCTCTCATCATTTTCTCAGCTACTGGCAAGCTCTTTGAGTACTGCAGCGCCTCCAGGTATTTTCCAATTCCATTTTTTTTCCTCTATATTAAAATTCCGTACGATAAATCTATAACTTTTCTTCTTCAATTCCACCTATCATTTCGGTCCTTTGTTTTCCCGTGTCTGCGTTTATGTGCTTTCGTCTCTTTGTCGTTGTGTTTGTGCGCGCGTGAGAGAGACTCCTTCAAGTTTTTACTCTTTCCCATTTCGTTCGATCTTTCAAGCAGCAAGAAATTTTTTTTTACAGAAGGGAATAAAGCAACTTCTTTGCTGAAATTCCATGGTCGCTTTAAAAGAAAACGTCGTACTTCGGTTCACACTCTCAGAGTTGATTAATTCTATGGACTCTTTGGAGTTTATATTAATTAAGAGTGAAAATCCTCACTGCCACTTCCAAGATCTTTGTTATCTCTTCCATTGAATTGCATTTTTAGATTTTCAGACTCGTATCAGACCTTAAACTTTGATTTCTATGGTTGCTTGTTACAGCGGGTTCACAGACTTTGGCGGAGTCTCGATCCCGTTGTGGCTTGTGGGGTGACTTTTCTTGAAATATATACAGATTGCATAAAATCAACGTCTCAAACATTTTCATCATATTCTTAATTGACCTATTTTTTTGTCATAAAATAAAAAAACAAATACCAATATTATAACTTCATCTCTGTATTTGAGCTCAACTAGTTTAAATATTCAACGAGTTCAACCATATGATGAATGTACGTACGCCTATATTTAATTATTTAATTGGTGTCAAGGTGAGAAATATAAATATGCATTATAACAATTATGTTATATGTCTTAAGTTAAATATATGAAGTAATTATTTTAGTTTATTTTGGCTTAATTACATTCCTTATTACGTATCTATAATCTAGGATACTGTTATGGTAGTTAACAAAATAAATATTGTAATAAATATCATTGAGTCAATTGTATAAGTATAAATAGTTTTCGAAAGAACACAGGTTGAGTGAGGATGCATGGGGGATGGGTTAATGGTTAACTGTAAGTATTGTGTATGTATAATATTTAATTATTTGTTTGATAATAAGGTTTGAAGTTACATAATATTGTTAATGATATGAACATATTAATACTTATCATTTCATTAGTAAAATTATTGTATTTGTTTGTGTATGAAATGGATACAAGATTACAAGTAATCTATGTATGTTTGACAGCAACTTTCCAGACCTATGTATTGATGGTTATGAAAATGCCGTTAATTTTTATTTTTTTTTAAAATAAGAATTGATGGTTATCATTTCATGATTTAAAAATCTGCTAGTCCTTAGTGAAAAAAAAAAAATATCATAATTAGGTTAAATAACGAAATGTAAGATATGAAGCTGATCATTCTCATTAAAAAACTGAACAATAATGAATACTGGTTGAAGTAGATGTTACAAGTTTTATTTTAATTAGCATTTTCTATCTTGAGATGAAAGAAGAGGGGAGGAGTAAGTATCAATATATTCAGTGAATTAAAGTTTTACTTTAACTTTGATATAGTTTGGTTCTAATATTTGAGCATTATATTGTCTTAAGTATAACAAATTACGCTCTCATAATTCAGCGAGACTAGCTGGAAATCAAGATAGATTGGCAAATAATTTTTACTTGTTGATATTCAAACTTATGATTAATGTTCATGAATGTGTCATAAGACCATAAATTTTAATCAAATTTAAAGCCTTTCGAGTTTTTGAGAATTTCGATATATATATAAATCGATGTTAGTTCATTGAAGGTGAAAGAGTCTAGCTAATTGACCTTCTAATGAGATTTGTTTGTGCAAGGGTTTGAAAATGTTTGGCTGAGTTTTGGGTCGTTTAGCTGTGACCTGTATATAGTATTTGTAACTTTTCTAAGCTTGAACTTGATATATATATATATATATATATGCGCGAATCTATGCTTCCTATCTTTCTCTTTCAATCAGATACCAATTGCTTGGATGCGTTTGAAAGCCTCAAGATGACATGTAGAAAAAATTCTTTCTAGGTTTGTCTTGTGTCTTCGTAACAAAAGGTCCGTTTATGGATGGGCGAAAGACGGGGATTGAACCCACGCGTGGTGGACTCACAATCCACTGCCTTGATCCACTTGGCTACATCCGGCCCTATCCTATATATATATAAGCTTATTAATTAATAAAATTCTTTTTAAGTGCAAACGTGTGTCAAGTTCTAATAATTATATATATTTAAGATTGAATGTAACCATGTAAAAATTGTTCAAAATTTATACTGACCTTACATTAGTCATCGATGAGTCTTATATGCATGAATGTGCTTGACTCTGAACAAGTTGAATTAACTTTCTTTCAATTTAAGCCAAAAATTGTTAGTTTGATTACAAGTATAAACAAGCTTTTGAGAACTTTCATTGCATGTGGCCTTGTGAGGGTAAAATGTTGTGGACTTATGTTAGATTGAGTTTGGAGTAAATTCTTATGTTACTTTTGAAGAATAGGGTTCCATGGCCTCAAAACAGATTCAATGGGAAATGTCTATTTGTAAGGAAAAATCATGTATATTGAAAAAGGTGCTAACATGATTAAGAACATCTATGATACCATTGAGGTACTATGTAATCTGTATCAGTAACCGTTAAATAGTTTTTAAAATTTATAATTCAATCACATTTATGATAAAGATTGATGAGAGAGAATATTTTTCATAGGTGGTGTAAATACATTGGGTTGTTGTATAGATAACTTGTTACCCCCGTGGTATTCTTAATTTTTTTTTATATGACTATAGTGAACAAGTAGTTCATTATGTTTCATGACAATATCACTTGTTTTTCCTATTTCTTATTGATTAACCTGTTTATTAAGGTGATAATTGTGAACATGATCATTCTTGAGCTGATATAGATGGGTTTTTGGGGAACATGTGTTATATAAAGATCATATACTATATATGCGTATTCTTATAATTAATTTGATATTAATCTTATTTCTCAGAGCTGCACGGTTAAACTTCACCTAAATCTCAAACTTATTACTTTGTTGGAGGCATAATTATTTTTGATTGCTACAGAAATACATCAATTCTGAATTCTGACATGAATTTGGGGATCAATATATACATTTCTAAATTCCTTTGAAAGTGATTAACCCTATGACAAATTATCATATAAACTATTACCATGTCTTTATGTTTTCATGGTTAAGTCTCTTGATTGAAATGCTTGTCTTAAATTTATAAGTTGATTGATGAATAAGAAGTGGTTGCCTTGGCCATTTGATCTGAGCTGTATTAGTAGATATAAGTATGAATAAACATATTTGCTTTAGCCAAGTTTTCTCCTAAACTGGGATCCTCCTTCATATGTGACTCCACCTCCCTTTGTAGCCTTTCGGTCAATACATTTGAATAACAGAAGCTCTTCTCTTCATCATGTCACGTTGTAAGGGTTTGTTGAAATTCTTCTTTATTCTATGCAGGCCAAAGTGGTTATATCATATTACATCCTTTGGTAATTGTTAGTAACAGAATCTCTAAGGCATGTTGACACTTTTTGACTCTAATTTTACAGTTTGTTCAGATTTTCATTCACTAGAACATAACATTGTGTTATAAAGTTGCTAAATTTAAGGTGAATGAACTTTGTTATTTAAATAAATTGGATATTACTTTTCATCTCTTGTAAATTTTCAAATGGCTAGGTTTTCTTGATTTTCACTTAAATTATCAGTCAATATATCAGTTGAATGTTTGTATTATGTTATAACTAATTGCAAATGCTTAAAAATATGGGGTGGATGATGGATGATTGGATGTAATGACAGATAACAAACATGTCATTTGGTGAATAGATAGTTCAGTTAGATTAAAAATCATTATAAGTTTATATAGATTATATATATGATGAATAGGGTTTGATGCCTTCCCAGCTGATGGGATCTTTATTCTAGCGATTAATTTAAACTCCACTTGCCATACATTTTGTTGTGAAGCATGAAGGACACAATTTCAAGGTATAATATGCATTCTATCAACATCGGAAAGCTTGACCAACCATCGCTTGAACTGCAGGTAATTTTTTTGATCAGTTTTGTTAGATTATCATAACATAACTATGATCGCTATGTACGTTTTAAGAGGTTAAAGGAAAATGACATAGGCATGCCATTAGAATTTCTGAGATGAATTTTGCAAAAGGCTTGGGGTTCACTAATTTAACTTTTTAATTAAGCATATTTTTAACTAGTTGAGTTTTCAAGAACTGCGATGGAAGAGATTTCCAACTCACTTGCATTGGCTAACTTGGCATCACATATATAAATTTCTTTTTCCCAGTAATTGTCAAGCGTTACATATCAGAACTGACTGGCAATTCCATTCTTATATAGCTGGAAAATAGCAACAACATCAGATTGAGCAAGGAAGTTGCTGATAAGAGCCATGAACTACGGTATATATTTTAATGTAGTTATATTGTCTCTTTACTTTGGTAAGTTAGCAAAAATTCTTTATTATTAATATTACCTTTTATAATAGACAAATGCGAGGAGAAGATCTTAAAGGATTGAATATAGAAGAATTACAGCAACTGGAAAAAATGCTTGAATCAGGACTTGGGCATGTTCTTGAAACAAAGGTATGTATTTTTTTTAGATTTTATTGCAAACTAAGTATATATATCTATCATGATTCATGCAGGTGTTCATATGAGTTTTATTTTCCCTACCAGAGTGAACTGATTATGAGCGAGATGTCTTCACTTGAAAGAAAGGTTAGAAGACAAATATTTATTTCTATCAATTATATTTATTTCTTTTGGAAAATTTAAACTACTAATCTATGCCTTTTGTTCATGATCTTTCTTACTAATTTAAAGTTAGCAGTCACTGTTTGCCGTAGAAGCAATAGTGTATTAGAAGGATAACAAACAAGTTTCTCCAGGGGGATATATTAAATTGAGATCTTCTCAAAGTAAGACAGAAGATATTCATGGAAATATGAAAATAATGTTTATCTATAATACATGAATCAGCTAAAACATGTGGACTTTCACTCTTGAGAGTTTTTATTTTTTATATATATAATGACTTTAATTTTTTGGCATCAAAATTTTCCACAAAAGATCTTTCTAATTATAATATTAGCAATTTTCAAATGTACATGCAAATTTTCAGTTTGCATTATAATTTTAAGGACACCGTCATGAGCTATAGCTTAAGTTCTTTAATTTCCATCTACTGGTGTGCAATACTTTATATATATATATATATCAAGTCTCTTTGGTTGAAGACCTCTCCAGTTTGTTTTTGATTATTAAGATACCATAAGTCAAGAGTTCTATCTTGAGTTTTCAGCTTGGTACTATTTGCAGGGAGCACAACTATTGGAGGAGAATAGACAGCTAAAACAGAAGGTATTAGAATTCATTTTGGTGGACTGTTATAATAATTTTATTTATTTCATTTTCTTTGAAATGGCGAGGGATCTTTCAAATTTGGAGCAGGTGTCCAACTTGTATAAGGGAAAAAGCCTCGTCCTAGCTGATTCAGAAATCGCAATTCAGGAAGAAGGGTTGTCATCAGAATCTGCTACTAATGTTTGCAGCTGCAGCAGCGGCCCGCCTATAGAGGATGACAGTTCTGATACTTCTCTCAAATTAGGGTAAGCTTAATTATCAGTATAGGGTCATGCATATGTAAATGAATCTTATCTCCCAATTCAATAGTTTAAGCTTATCACAATGTTTTTGCATTTTGATGAAAGAGACGAGACCGAGAAAGCAACCTTAATATTGATGCAATAATTAATGCGAAGTCAACATGCAAGGGTACTGCTGGACATTTTTAATTTTCTTTTGATCAATTTTTTGTTTCTTTAACTATTTATTTTGCAGGCTTCCCTTCCCTTGCTGAATTGGAGAAGACGAAGTGGATTTCTTCCGTGTGTCGGATAAAATAGCCCAGGGATCGCCCAACATGCAAGTGGATTTTTCGGTTGGGTAATATAGTCTAGCATAGGCCACATACTTGAGAGGTTATGGGCCTCTCGAGTACATGATGTTGTTTAGCATAGGAGCTTCCCTAGTACATGTATTGGCCCTCCTTTTCAAAACTTACACACTACCACGTTCCATTGTTTCTAAACAATCAATATGTTGGTATATATTTATTTGTCCTTATTTTTTTAAAGTATTTTGACACATATATATATATATATATATATATATATATAGAGAGAGAGAGAGAGAGAGAGAGAGAGAGAGAGAGAGAGAGAATATTATCCTGAATAATAATAAAAAATATTTTTTTTTTCTTTTTCTTGTGTTTGAAATAAACAGAATCAATCTGAAGGGATTGGCCTGGTAACTAGAGAAGTTTGTTCTTTTCTTTGAGTTTCTAGATTCAAATCTTGGGATCACTTATCATAATAATAGTAGTTTTTCAGACCTTTTGGGCTTGTAGGGTGTTTAATGAACCCTGAGAATTAGTTGAAATACGTATAAGTTGGCTTGGATATTTCGATTATCAAAAAAAGAAATAAACAAAATCCATTTGTTAAGTCAAGAAAATGTTAAAATATTTGTAAAAGATGCTTAAATGTCAATAATTTTAGAGTAAATGTTACCCTAATATCAAACACCGGAGGGAAGTATAATAAGGTATACTGTTGCTTCAGAGTTCAGTATTATTATATTGTTGCTTTCTTTATCTTGAAATACATCCATAAAAAGGTTGAAAAAGAATGAAAGATAAATGTACTTGACATTTTATTATAATGTGTAATGCCATCGAAAAATTAAAATCAGAATAATTTTCTAATGAAGCATAGTACGCGTGCACCTCGATGCTGACACGTGGCCTCAGAATAATGGAAATGGTCATCTTGATTCCTGCTAGAATCACCATAAAGTTCACAATTAATTAATTTATCATAAATTATCCAATGATCGATTTAATTTAATTGGTTGACAACTTGTTATTTGGACTCGGGTTTTCTAAAAAAGGACACTAGGCACATTTAAGCAAAATATTTGAGTCGTAATAGTAATTAACATTTTATCTAATCTGATGAGGTGTCCAACAGTCCACCTGAAGCCTCTTGGTCTCCTCAACTATGGATTTGGTTTTTTATTTCTTATTCTATTTTTCTTTCTTTCTTTCCGAAATTTTTTTTGTATTCTATTTTGTATTCTATTTTCTTTCTTTCTGAAATTCTTTCTGTATTCTATTCTGGTTTACTGATTGGACTAGGCTAAAGTATGGATTTGGAACCTTGGTCATGTGAGCGTATTCTGAAATTCTTTCTAGGTATAGTCCTCATCCACGTGCACTTCTAGTGGACTGTATAATTCTGTTTTCTATTCTGAGGCTGCTCACTGATGGTGGCATGCAAGTGGGAAACTTATGCATCTCTGTCGCCACTAGCTAACGCAGCGAATGCTCACAGGTTCGTCATCACAACAACCCTTAGGGGTAGGATAAATAATCTGAAAACCGAACCGAATCGATAACCGAACCGAAACTGAATCGAAAATTAGGTTTTTTTACAAACCGGTTCGGTTTTCGGTTTGCGAAATTCTAAAAACCGGAAAACCGGTTTGGTTTTCGATTTGGAAAAAATTACAAACCGGTTTTACCCTACATATAAAAGCAAATTTTTTTTTTTTACTCCTCACGCAGTCACGCTACTCCATCAACATTCGTCTTTCTCTGCCTCCATTCTCCAAATCTGAAAATTTCAAATCTCTACACTTCGTCAATCGTCTGTTCGTCACTTCCAAAGTTCCAGACTCCAGTTCGCCGGCAGTTCTAGTCTTCCACACCGTGACTCCATCCACAATCCACATCATGAGGCGTGAGCTACTCCATCAACATTCCACAGTTCGTCAGTTCCAATCCTTGTTTTCTACAAATGTAAAGCAATGATTTTGATTGTTGGATTTATGTGTGTTTTATACATGGGTTTTGTTGCGATATTGCTACTGATTTGCTTTGCTGATTTCTTGATAATTTTGAGGTCTATATGTAGGCTTTTTGGCTTATTGTTTGGGTTATACACGCACACGGTTTAATTTCCAATAGAAAGCTCATAGGGAAAACCTAATGATTTGTGCATGTGTTTATGTACTTGGTTTTGTAGTTGTTTTGATACTGGTTTGGAGTCGAAGCTCCTATATACGTCTGATTTGTTGCTATCGTATTGATTGTTTTGATTGTTAAGTGTCCAGTCTAAAGTATATTTTTTTGTTGCTATATTGTTGGGGTTTTCTTAGTTAATTTTGTGCTTTCTTATATACAGGTTTGAGTTTTAGCTCATTGTTGATGTGTTGTTCTGTGTAATATTAATAAAGGCCATAGACAAAATATGAAATGGGTAAATGTGTGCCTGTATTGATGGGTATGTATTGTTTTGTTTCTGGTTTGAAGTAGGAAGTCCTTAGTATGTATTATATTGGATGGTTAGCTGCGGTTATATCAATCTTTAATTCTGCTGATGAATAATTAGGTTCTTTTAACTCTGTTGCTGTTGCTTTCTGCTTAATTGATCAAAATGTAAATTATTTTTTGTGCTGTTGATTTTGAGCTTTAAATATATTTATGCTTTTATATGGTTATTAAGCTTTCTGGTTGATTCTTCATGTTATGTCCTGTTTAAATCTAATAAAAATCTCATTGTAAAAAAATGTAAAATGATTCCCTCTTTTATAAAATCTTTAGCATATATGGAAATAATAATTTGGGCACAAACATTGATTAACACATTAAATTTTGTTTACAAACATTTCTTAAGATTATGATTGTTTGGTGATGGAGTGCATTAAAAGTGTTTGTTTAGTATCTTAGTAGATATTGAAGTGCAAATGTTGATAATGTGGATAAATAGATGCGTGTAAGCCCTAGGGGGGCTATGAGTGTTATGATTTTGGACTTTGGGTGGAAGCATTTTGGATGGTTAAATGGAATTACGGGAAGAAGGTTTTATCAAGTTGAAAAGAGAGATGTTGACCAAAGAAAGAAAAAAGGGCAAAAAGGTCAAGACAATAGTTTTGTTTACTAGCTCATGCGGTGTCGTTTTTCATTATCATTGTCATCTCTCTCATTTCATATAAAAGAAAGGTCAACTGCAGTTTGTAAAATACAGAAAAATAAAATCAGATCTACGAATTTCAGTTCTCAGTTTTCTTTCAATTTTTGTTCCAAATCTCATATGGTATCAGAGCCTGTGACTAGCGTCCATGGCTAAGGTTTCTAGTTTTCAGTCTGATAGTAACATGGAGAAAACAGCTCTCGGTTCAGCTCAATCTTCACTGTTCAACTTTTCTCAATCTTCAATCTTCTCATCTAGCTTACAAGTAGTGAATCCGAAGCTTACAAGGGATAATTACAAAGACAATTACCGCTTTTGGAGGTTGCAAGTCTTATCAGCCGTAGGAGCGCATGAATTGGAGGAACATTTGACAGGTTTTGTTCCTTGTCCTGAACCCTTGATTGCTTCAGAAATTGACTGTTCTACTGAATCAATTGAAAATAACCTAACTAAAGGGAAGATTAATCCAGCTTATATAGCTTGGAAAAAGACTGATAAGCTTCTTGTAACTTGGCTTTTGGCTTCTATTTCGGAATGTATGTTTAGTCATATATCCAAATGTCAGTTTGCCTCTGAAATTTGGTATAGTCTTGAAAATGAATTTCTTAGCGATTCCAAAGCAAGAGCACTTCACTTGAAAAATTTACTTCAAAACACTCAAAAAGGAAGCATGAGTGTAAATGAATTCATTAAGAAAATGAAAGGGATTGCAGAGAGTTTGTCCGCCAGTGGTCAGGTGATAACTGATGAAGATCTTCTTCAGTATGTATTAGATGGACTAGGGCCAGAATTTGATACTGCTGTGGTTAATTTGACATCTCGAATTGAATCTAAGTTTGATTCAGTAACATTATAGGAAGCTCAATTCCTGCTTCAAAAGTATGAGATGAGACTTGAGAAGCTTAATACTGGTGATTTTTCTAATAGCTCAGTCAATTTAGCTTCTCTCAATAATTCTGGTGGCAAATCTATACACTCTGCTGCTGCGAAAGGATCTAACAATGCAAGTGGTGATGTAAATGCACTTAACAATATGATGACCTTAAGTCATAATCTGCCTTTTGCACCAATGTATCAGGCTTATGCACCGTCTATTCATGGTGATCCATATTTTCCTATTGGACATCAAAATCAGTTTGGTGGATCTTTTAGTGCTTCTTTTCCATCCTTTAGAGCATCTGGTTACAACACTTTTGGAAGAGGAAGAGGCCGAGGTAATGGTCGAGGTAAACCAATCTGCCAAGTCTGCAGTAAAATTGGTCATACAACAATCCAGTGCTACCATAGATGCAATTCGAACTATAATGGAGCTCCTCCACAGTTCAATGTTGGTTCTCCACAGTTCAATGCTGGTTCTCTGTCTCAGTATGGTGTGAATTCTGCTGCTCAGTTTGGGGTTTCATCACCACAGTTTGGTTCTAGTATTCGGCCAAATTCTAGTTCTGTTGGTGGTCCTTCACAAGCATCTTATCCTGGCATTTCTCATTTAGGAAACAATTTGCAACAAGAAGGCACCAATGCTTCTTTCTCTACTCAACAGCAAGGCTCACAGCAACATAGTTTTCCAGTTCCCAGTCAACAAATGCAGTCACCCAGCCAAGCCTACTTTGTGTCTCATCAAACTCCCTTACATCATCCACACTCCATATCACCTATGACTATTCCTCCATATCAATCACCAAATCAGAACTTTTTTGCAACTCATCAAAATCCATCTCACCCTCCTAATACCATAATACCTATAACTGTCCCTACTGCCAACACACCTGATCCAGCCTGGTACATGGATTCAGGTGCTACTGACCATGTCACTTCTGATCCTAACCAACTAGCAACCAGCAGGAATTATGAGGGGGTCGATCAACTACAAGTAGGCAACGGTGAGTCTCTCAACATTTCACATATTGGCTTTACCTTGTTACCTAGTTCTCTGCAGTCTAAGTGTTTATATTTGAAAAATGTTTTGTGTGTGCCAAAAATAACTAAGAATCTTCTTAGTATTTCAAAATTTACACAAGATAATAATGTAGTTGTGGAATTTAATTCTGATTGCTGCCTTGTTAAGGACAAGGATACCAGAAT